ATCTGAAGTACCCTTCGATGGTTGATAGGGTTCATCAACCAACTGAAATACCTTTCGAGGAACCCTTCAATGGTTCATCGAGCTAATCAACCATCTGAAATACCCTTTGAGAAACTCTTCGACGATTGATGGAGGTGATCAATCAACTGAAATACCCATTGAAGAATCCATTAATGGTTGATGGAGCTGATCAACGCTTTTTATGTTTTAGCAAAGGTAATCCAAGGGTACTTAATATTCATCTACCCATTTGTACACGGATGAGTACTGAGAAAAATTGGTTTTTGAATTTTATCTACCCTTAAAGAGGGTTTATCAAAGTGCAACGTATGACAAACCCTTAAAGAGTACTTCAAATTGATAAACACTTTGATAAACCTCTCCATATACGGCGTCTGAATCTGATAAACGGTTCTTTTCGTCACTTTAAGGGGTAGATGGAAAGGTTTAACACGTTTTGATAAACGATAAAAAGGGTTTGTCATACGTTGCACTCTGATCAACCCTTTAAAGATTTATTATTGCGCGGATTTTTTTTACAGTGTACCCTTTCTCCTCCTGCTTATTCTACTGAATCGTACATTGTTGTTTTAACTAATGCTGCACAGACAGAACTCGACTCACTTAGTGCTGGCGAGATCATCACCAGACAGTTCAAAACCGATTATCCTCGTATAAAAAAGCTTCATAAACGCACCGACAATGCGAGCAACTTCTCATCACACTCGACGCCCGAAGTCGAGAAAGTGATCTGCGATCGAGTGAGAATCTTTTCTGAATCTTTCAACTTTTATTGTGTCTTATTCTGCAGCTTGGCATTGAACTATTGACCCGTGATTACAGCGAAGTTCAAAAGGGTAAGGATATTTGTGACCGAATATTTGGGGTGAACAAGGGTCGAATGCGCTCGTGGGTGGCGACAGGTAATGACTTGCTGAATGCGATCGATATTAAAGAAGGTATGGAGTACGTCGGTGGGATAAAAAATACCAAAGTCGCGGTAGCTGAGATCATTCCCGACACAGGTACGCAGCTCCTTGGGGTAAAGAATTTTGTGCTTCCTCTTGCCGTTTTTAAGGTCATTTGGACAAAACAAACGTGCCAAATGTTTCCACACTTCGCTCAATTCGCTACGCATCAAAAAATATGAACGTGTTCAAGGCATCAGGCATTGGTGATGGTCTTTCGATTCCCTACAAACAGCTCAACTTTGAATCAAACATGCGAGTTGTTAGCCCTTTTGGAAATCCAATAAATGACCAAAAGCCAAGTACAATACCAAGCCAGTAAAAGCTCTCCATTTTTTGCTCTATTCCTTATTTAAGTTTAAAATAGGAGAAACGATCGCATTCACCATTATTTAACATTATGTCCTGTAAGCGGCTGCACAGCCACCTTCGAGTCGAGTACAGAGCTCGAATCGCACATCGCAGCCAACCTACATAACGTACAACAAAATACGCGACGAACGACAAACGATATTGCTCGACTGCATCTCACGGAGATCATCCGAACAACAAGCATACACGCCCAAGAGCAAACAAAAAGAATTTTACAAAGTCAAAATGTCTCATGTATTGATTTCACAAAATCTGCTTGTTATGACAGGTTTTCGTCAGCCGGATGGGCTCTGCGAGCACGTAAGCACACCAACCCAATGAGTGACAAAGTCAAAAACTTCATTGAACAGCTCTGGCTTAATTCTCAAGAGCCTCGCTTAACGCTAACCGCTCAGCAAATTCAACAGCAAATACGTACGACACGAGATATCAATGGAGACAAACTTTTTCAAACCCACGAGTATCCAACATTGAGCCAAATTAAGTATCGCTTCCGAAAAATTCGCCAAACTCATGGTATCACAGCGCAGCAGGAACTAATCGCCGAACTTATGGAGTCTAACACTGAGTAGGATCAGATTTTTCCTTCTCTTCATACGATTTTTTTTGTTCATTTTGAATCATTTCTTATGATTTTAAAGTTGGAGAGTGTCTGAAAACTAGAGCATATTAATCAAGCTGCATGTCGACAAAAACCAATGTGAATTGTAATGAGAGCACAATCCAAATTACGAAAACACGAACTTTGAGTTCCTTAATATATCGTCATGGGCACACGCTCTAATACTGCAAAAGGACACATTTTTTGCTTTTTATATTGGAGACTATAATGCCACCATGTAAGTGGGAGGAACTTCCATGATACTCGCCGCCAAAAGTACCAATCAACATCTAGTATCTGTAGAAAAAATTCGCTCAGTCAAACTTAACATCGCGAAAAATAAGTAGAAAAATTTGGGCCATTGTTACCCATTGGGACCCGACTATCTCACAGAATGAAACATTGNACTGGTATAGATAAATGATTGTCTCAATTAATTTAATAATTTAATAAAAATTTAGATTATTATGGCTCGAATCATTTAATCGATAGGTATCAAGTAAAACAAAAATATTTTTGTCTGATAAATTGTTTATTTTAGATCGACGAAAGAAAGAAGCTCGTGTACACATCCGACTTCATATATTAAATGAATCTTTTTATTATAGATTTACCCAAACATCGAACAGTTAAGTTTTAGGGTACCAAAAAAATAATCTTATTTTTCCTATGTTGTAGATTGATTTGCATATTAAAATCGAGGGTAAATCTAATTTTATCAAATAATATTCTAAAAAATTTGTTCTATTATAGATTAACTCAAATATTAAATTCATGAGGTAAGATTGATTTTGTCAAAACAAATTAATCCTTTTAAATTTCTATTATAGATTGAGTCGAATGCTAATGCCACTATGTAAGTCTGATTTTATCAACTAAAATAAAGAAGCTATTTATATCTGTATTTTACGCTCATTCAAATAGCAAAATCGAGAAGTGAGTGTGACTTCATCAAATAAAACTATCTCGATTTCTATTATAAGTTGATGCAAATGTCAAAATATGAGTAAGTTTGATCTTTTAAGATACAGTGAATATATTTATTTTTCCACAATAAATTGTGTGGCACTAAATCTGCTTTTTAATCATCGAATCATTCACTACTTCAGCTTTAAATGAAACTTATTGATCATTTTCAGATTTGAATCACTGTATAATAGAGAAATAAGTAAATCTAGTATATTTTTGTGAGAACAAAATCGCAAGTAAAGTTGATCTTATAGAATATACTAAATTTATTTATTTCTTCAGTACACAATAATCGAAACCTAAAAATGATCAATATGTTTCAATTAAAGCTGAAGTAATGATAGATTTGATGACTAAATAGCAGATTTAGTCTGAACCGTTCATGTACGAAACTTTTTCTTCTATTTCATGTATAAGTTTTCTATGAAACTTTATCTACGAAACTTTTATCTTAGTTTGATGCAAAGGTTTGATATGAAACCCTACGTATGGAACCTATTTTTACTGTTTTTCTTGTTATTTTCCGAAACCAGAAAAGATTCTTCCCGTGTGCCTGAGGAAGGAACCCTTTTAGGTTAGGTAAAAAAACTTTTTTTCTAAGAGTTAACTCATTGATGAAGTAGAGGGAAGTGAAAATTTCCATTTCAACACTTCTCACTCCCAGTTTTCAACGAAAATATATGTGAATTCCACAAAATTCCTGAGCACTACTGCAAAATTTTGTGGTCTAAATGTAAATGTCTTAAAATCTGATTATAGGTTCATACACTATCATTTCGCTACCATTTTGTCAAACTTTAAAGTTTATCTGTATTATTAATATCAAGAACTATATTTAATCGAAGAAATCAAACTGGAAATTTTCAAAAGCTAACTTTGGATACGGAATCTTCACTTTCTTTGATTTTATTAGAACTTCACAATTTCTTTTATAATAAAAGAGATCATTTTCCATTTGTTCACGTAGAAAATAGAGAAAATTCACGCAATAAGATCAAATATCTTATTCAGATTTCCATCGTCGACAAGCTAAATTGTTTACCCTAATTGTACTATTTATCCTTGTGTACTATTTTCGTGAACAATAGCATAGATTAACGATCAATGCATTGAAAGAATGATCATAAATTTATTTAGATGATCACTTATTCAATTACTTAGATCTTTCAAATATATGTAAATGTCAAAATGTATTATAATATGAATCATTCATAGGACGCATACGACTTGTTGTACGTTTCTATGCATTATTTTCTCTTAACCTTTACTTGACAATCAGTTGAGTGTGAACAAACAAACATATGGAAGAAATACAAGTTGCTTGATATGAGAGCAAAATATGTGATGCAGAAGTCGTCATTAGAAGAAAATCATGAAACAAATTTAAAAAAGCAATAAAAAAGAAGATCANGGCAACAAAAATATGGACCCGCCGCCACACTCCGCCGAGCCCCGCCCCACCGCCACCCACATCCCCACCCCCCCCCACACCCACCCCATACCCACACCCACACCCACACACCCATTTAACGACACAAGCCAATCAAAAGAAGAATCTTTCAATCATTCTGTTATAGCGGCTTCTTGTGACTATTCTTTTCCTTTTGATATTTTTTCTTTCTATATCTTTTTTCCATATTTTTCTTTTCTATATTCCTGTTTATTGTTTTCGACATTTTTCCTTTCTTCCTTTTCCATCATACCGTACACGAGAGCTCATTATTTTTGTAATATTTATTCTGAGTAACTCTATATGAATGAACGAACAAAATGAATTCGTCTATTGATGAACAAGTTTGACTAGAGTTTAATGCTATCAAATAATTACTGTGGCGGACGGAGAGGAGGCGATATATATAAGCAATGAACATCGACGAAACGTAGTTATATATATTTTGCTGTTTAAAGAATGATGAAGCAGAATGAACATGAATCAGTCAATCGTTAACGTTATCGATTTGCCTGACGAAATTTTGCTTCATATTTTGAAGAAACTCAATAATTTCGATGTTCTATATTCATTGGTGGGTGTTAATAAAAAACTCGATCGACTGGCATGTGATATTAGTTTTACTCGACTTGTCGATTTAATGACAATTGAATCAAATCGGGTGACTGATTCGAGAAGTAATACAATCCTTGATCGATTTTGTATCGAGATTTTACCGCAAATTCATGATAAAGTGGAATCTCTTACTCTTCAAGCATGCTTCTTACCACGTGTTCTTCATGCTACCAATTATCTTCATTTACGTAAGCTTGTTATTATCAACCTTGAGCTCAGTATGGCTTGTCACATTTTCAATGGTATGTTATTTCATCTATCAGTATCGAAGAACTAACAATTCTTTGCATTTGTTGTCTGTTTTTAGAGAAGTCTCCATTTATTCATGTTTTCAAAGAACAAATCTCAGAACTAATCTTAACGATTGGTGACGAAATTCTGGATGAATCAAATGTAAAATTATTAACTGATATTTATAATCGTATTTTTGGCTTATTTACAAATCTCAAATATTTGGATTTAGATGGCGATGACACTTATGCTTTCTCTCGATCGTTGTTGACTGGTTTATCATCTACAACATGTTGTTCATCGAGTATTGTTCATTTACGTATCAAAATGCAGAACATTGATGATTGTCTTTATTTACTTGATGGTCGTCTTAGTCAATTACATACATTAATTATCAATCTTGATTATATCCATGATCCAGTACAGATCAGACTACGTTCATCAAACATTATACGTCATTCATTGAAAATCATGAATAATTTGGTAAATAACTACATTCGATTGGAGAAGAATTGTTTTATTTCAGTGTCGATTAGAACCATTGAATTAATCATCTCTGATACAGTTATTAAAAATATAATGATTTCAGAAAAATGAACATCCAGAAATCCTTTAATAATTTTGTTTTAGCATGTTGATATGACGTATTTAATAATACATTCATGAGTTCTGTCGTCGTTTATTGATTATTCATTTCGTTACAAAAAAAGTCATTTAAGTTTTAGTTCCTATCACTTCGGTTCTTAAGATAATTCAACAAAAATTGTATTTCTTTATGAAATGAGTTACACAACTGAGACAGAGAATAATACAGATAACTATCAAAATACTTCAGTTTGTTCTTGAGCTATGTTAAGATAAAAACAAAACTCTGATGCACATCTATCAAAAAAGTATAAGAATATCTCGAAAGCAATCGTTTTCTATTTCAGAATCAGAAGACAACTTATCAATTACAAGATTGATTAGTCTAAAGCTTGTTTACGATCCTAGTTTATCAATTGTCCTAGATAGAACTAAATAGCCTATATCATCCATTGATTCAATCGATCATTGAACAAACAAATAACATTATCTTTTTTGCTTTTTTCATAGGCCAATCCACTTCGACTCAAGTGTTTTTCCTTATACATATATCAGACAACAACTGAATTTGACAGTCTAGCGGTACTTTTCCTTCGTCGAATGACGCATCTAGAAAAGCTCACCTTATCTCTTCGCGTTGGTAAGAAAAATTCCTTCATTGATGGTACTTATTTGGATAATTATATACTCAGTCAAATGCCATATTTACATACATTTCACTTCGATATTGTAACCGATCATGCCAGTATTAATCAACAACAACCTAAACCAACACCTGATGATATTCGACGTACATTCATGGAAAGAGGACATCATGTTGATTGTTATATTGATTATCGATTTTATAATTCAGGTCGATGTCATGTTTATTCACTTCCATTTCATATGGAACGTATATGTCAAATAACGTACAGTTTTCCTGGTGGTATGTTCATCAATGTTCGTGTTCTACATATGAAGGACTATTATCACCCATTCGAACACAAGTTCTTTGCCAAAATCTCACGTTCATTTCCATTACTCAATCGTCTGATGCTTTCCAATGCAAAAGAACAAAAAGAGAAACATTAAGAAAAATATTCGATTATTGAGTTTTCTCATCTTGTCGAACTTGCTTATCATAGTGTACATATTGATTATGTGGAACAATTTCTATCCGACTCGAATACACGTTTACCTTGTCTGAACAAGATTCATATTTCATATGGAGATATAGTAAGTGCGACAGAGAATTTTACAAGAAGTACAACGCGTATGAATTGTGCAAAAATGAAGCATATTATTTTTAATCAAAAAATGGCAATGGTACATTCGAAAGACTAATATCTCTATTTTCCTTTATTGTTGTAAATAATCTTCTCATTAAATATAATCATTCGAATTTGACTATGTTCCGATCGATCACGTCACTTAGTTCGAATTGAGTGAAATATTCAAGTGCGCTCGAATTCAGAAATCAAATATAGATATATATTTACTTTTCTGCCTAGATTAGGTGGAAGAAGCAAAAAGTGTATGAGAAATTTCATCAGAACTCGGAGATGAATTAGCATATTAAAATCGGCAGTTTCGTGGAGCAGAGGCTACTCTCTAAAATGTACTATTTAGTTCTCTCTCATTGGCTTTTGAGCGGAATAGATGTTAGAAAGTAATTGTCATTGATAGCATTGAGTGGATTCTAATGAATCTACTTATCGGATTTAACCATCCGGTCATGCAACATCCTTGAAACTGATTGAAACTTGCGAGAAACTGTAACGTTGTTTATCCTGATCATTTTAATACTAAATTCTCTCATGTTTTTGAAATCATGCAAATTATATGTTAGTAGAAGAGCTACAGTAAATCATGTTTCTACGGATCATGTTGCACTCCTTCATGTAAAGATCTGATCTCTATTGTGATGGTACTCGTCTAGAGTACTGCAACGGTTCCAAAAAAATTTCTTGGGCGCAGTTAAATAAATATGAGTCATTCCATCATTTCTAATGCTACTTCATTTTTCGACCATGCTTCTTGAATAGAAATGTTTTCTCTTTCAGTTCATCTGTTCAAAGCTACATTACAATCTTCCAAAGCAAAACATGTTAATGGAAAAGATACGATTCTGACCGGTTCCAAATTTGGAACCGGCCTCTCTTGTTTGGCTATGAATGACTAATGTATCTTTGACTATATGGACAGAAACAGTAAACATTTCTCTTCAAGATGCATTATCGAAAAATGTAGTAGCACTTAATCGAATCTAGAGTGTTCCAAAAGAACTATTGCAGAACTCTATACTCATTAATTATTTGTTTCAAGAAGAAATAACCTTGAAAGATAACAATTCTTATTCTTATTATTTAATATGTTTCAAGTGTTTTTTTTAAATACCTTCAATTACGAAAACTTTTCGGGTTGAAATAATCGTTCGCATAAAAAGATTTACATTTAATTATTTTAGAGTTTTCGAATTTGTTTTTATTAATATATAGATTTTTTAAGAATCTATTTTCATCTTTTAAATTGAGAAAAAAAATATTGATTAATGTTGAGATAGATATTTTAGTGTTGAATATGATCAATAATTTGCCTGATGAAAAAAAATTGTATAGAATTGTGCTTATTAGAAGCCTATTATAGTCCGTTTTACTTCATCCTAGTGAATAAATGACTGCTATTGTTTTGGGGAAAAAGTACTTTTGATCACCATTTTTTCGTTTCTATTTTTATAATTTCTTATTTGATGTAAATAGGCAATAAAAGTAACGTCTCCTTCATATTCAGGGTGTCGGTGTGGGGTTGTGAATCGCTCTTCTAATACTCATATCTAAACCCACACTCACACTCAAGTTGTAAATAGGTCTTTGTAATTTTTTAATACATTGTTAACAGTATAAAGACTTTTCTTATTGTGAATATTGCATTATTTGAGAAGGGTGTGGGTGTGGGTGTGGGTGTGGGTGTGGGTGTGGGTGGGGGGGGTGGGTGGGGGTGGGGGNATATTAGTGAATTAAAATCATTAGCTTATGATACTGATCATAAACAATATGATAAAAGAGATTATTGGAAAAACTTAATTTTACAACGTCGTATGGATTATACAAAACAAATGTCTTGTAAACGAATACCATTAATATTACTTTCTGATGGTACAACTTATTATGATGCAACAACAATACCAGATGAAAATAATCAAGAAATTGAATTAATGGAAGGTGAATATCTTGGCAGTCCAGTATCACCAGGTGTCTATGAAGGAAAAGTACGAATAGTTGATGATCCAATAAATTCTGAATTACAACCTGGTGAAATATTAGTTTGTACAGCTACTGATCCAGCATGGACATCATTATTTCCAATTGTTGGTGCTTTGGTATTAGAAATGGGTGGAATGCTTCAACATGGTGCTATAGTTTCAAGAGAATATGGTTTACCAGCTGTTGTTGGTGTTGCTAATGCTAAGAAAATATTTCATAACGGTCAACTTATTCAAGTTAATGGCTCTACTGGACGAATTAAAATTTTATCTGATTAAAAATTATGTTTTTTTTTCTTGATCTTAGTTTTTTTAGGGCCAGTATGGCAATTAACTTGTAAATAAAATTTATTTCATTGTAAGACTCTTGTAGTGTTTATCAGAAATTAATTAACAAAATGTTATAATTGTTACAGACTATGTGATATGATACACATAAATAGATCTTGAATCAATCATATTCAAGTCGCATTAAATTTTCAGCTCTATACCATGACGTTTTTGGATGATGATTAACAAACAATAGTCAAAAATGTCTTTATTTGGTAATATAAAAAATCTGTGAGCCTTCATTCAAAATACAGGGCCTCTTTTTGAAAAATTTTATACTTCTGAGATGAAAAAAAAAGGGGATGAAAAACTCAATACCTCGAACAAAAAAAAATCTAAATATGGTATTCTAATTATAGAAGTACTCTTTGGTGTACTAGTAACAAAGCGTAATTTAAAAACAGAACTCTGTCATGCACTACATCTTAACATGCTATTTAAAAAGAAAAGAAAAACTAAATATAGAGAATCAAGGTCTACAGAGAATTGTTGGTTGCATGCTCAAATCATACAAACGAAAAAGATTTGTCACTTTTTCTAAAAAAAAACCAGATTAAGAAATCTCTGTTCACTTATAACAGATCTGCTATATTTTGAAAACTTCATGTATCGATATCGATAATAAATGTAAGATTGTCGATATCAAGGATAATTGAAAAGAATCGTTGACTACAAGTACAGAAATTCTCGTAAGTTAATTACTTTTAAAAACTGTATACTTCCACCATTTCTCAATCAACATCAACAACTTTTCTTAGTTGAAAAGGCCATAAATTCTTTTCAGATCAATGCATAGTGTACAATTTCAAGCACCTAAGCAATTTGTTTATACTTTTCTGAAAATAAAACAATTCACCAGCGGTATTGTCTTGAACTGTTAAAATACTATTTTTGTTCAATGTTACAAAAGAAAAGAGACAATTAGAAAGACAATTGATAGAGATCATGATACTATAATTTCAACGAGCACTTTGTGAAAAGATGTCAAATCTGATGAGTTTCTGACGAGATCCAATATTCAATTTTGATAGGAATATTAAAACTCGAATTTCAACAACTTTCTTTTCGAAGTCTATAAAATTCAGCTGGGATACTCACTTCTGAGCTCTTTTGGTCAAATTTTCTAAGGCATTTGTACAAATATAGAATTTTCAGCTCAGTCATATGCAGTCATTGCAAACTCGCCAAACATTCATCAAGTTCATTAGACACAGGATAAATGTCTCGGATAAAGTGTACTACTTTTAATATCTTATTCAGACTATCTATTTTACACAACTAGCCAATTAATAAGGTTTGATCGAAAATTCTCGTCTTCAACAAATACCGTCTGAAGAGGCTTCCTATTAGAAGGAACATTGCTCTAGCGATCACAGAACGGTTAGATCGTATACCATATCGAATTGATCCTTTGTTCCGAATCTTATAGACATCCTATTGATAGACTCAATAGTAATGGATCAAATCGATTTTCGACATGAGTATTTAATCAGATTCTAACTCGAGAGATTAGACTTTGATTTCCTCATTCAATCTATAGCAATATTCTTACAGGATTCTGATATGATTCCTCTGTTGAATTGATTCTCCTGAATGACTAAAAAATAAAGTCTCAGCTATTGTACGTTATGATTACAAAACTGTCGAGATCAGTTTCATTCGAAACTTTTCTTTCATGAGTTATGCTTATCCTTATTTTAGTTTTTAATAATATTGATTGTATAAGAATCATTCACTTGCATCAGACATGATTATGTTTGACTGAATTCAGTGACAAACACTAAGAGTCTTTTTATTTCTAGAATTATAATAACAGATGTGTTTTAACTACCACAATAATAAAAAGAAATAAGGATTACTTCTTTTATATATCAGAATTATCATTGTTGGCAACGCAACAAGCTGACTCATTCATTTTTCCGAGCTTCGGACTCATTTTATTATGCGAGAAAATGCAAAAAAAAGTATTTCATGTTTGATTCCGATTTCCAAGGAAGAGAAAAAAAGAATACTTTGAGTAAATCGTATGTTCTTGTCATTCTTTTTTCTTCATAGATGTGAATAGAACCAATGAATCATCTCATTAATGCCGTATGTGTTTGTTTTATGTTGTCAAGCGCTATAACAATATTCTAAGGATAGAAAAAAAAAGAAACATAACAACACACCTATCATACGAACGGTTTTTTTTTATTCAAATATCGAAGTAGGTAAGAGTATAAATGGAAGAAAAAAATATAAGATCTATGTATTTACTCTATTCAAAGTTATATGCTTCATGACTTATATTAATTTGATTCTATTTTTATCTTTTCTACTTCTTCAACTGGTAAAGTATAAAATGTAGAATTATAATTAAAAACAAAAATTCATGTTTAGACAATTGTAGTTACTCAAGTATCGTGGGAAAATTGTGAAAGCAAGTCAAATGATATCAAACTACTAAATCTAACAATAAGTCCAGATCCAATTGTGGCTCCTGGATCGGTTTCTATAACAATAACTATTTATACTAATCAAAATTTGACAAGTCCGTTAAAGGTTTATGTCTTTAAAAATGATTCATCTAATAAAAAATGACTAAACTTAAATTTATATATGCAATTTTAGGCAACAGTGTCATTAAGAAAGAAAATTTTTATAAGTTATGTTTCCGTTCCTTGCTTCAGTATTGGCTCATGTACATATGATGATCTTTGTAGTCTTTGTATACAATGTAAATGTCCAATGGAAGAAGTAAGTATGCATATAATATTGCACAATTAATAATTACTTTTTTTTCAATAGGGAGTACATATATTGAATCTTCCAATTAAAATTGATTCTGCATCATGGATGGCTGCTGGAAATTACCAAGCACAAATTGATTTAGAAACTAGTTCAAAAGGAAAAGGTTGTGCCAAAATTAATAATATATCTATTAAAATAAATAAATGAATGAATTGAGTATATCTAGACCTATGGCAATTTGTAATCTAGAAACTATACTAACTTTGATCATGTAGTTCTTTTCAGAAGAGCTAAAACTGCTTAAACTGATCAGTTCTAGACGCCCGATAGCTGCCAGTTATATGAACCAGTTCTTTTTTGGGAACTGGAACAGTAAATGAAAAGAACTGATAACTGGACCTATTTCTCGGAAAAGTGTCGGTTCATATAATCGTATGTTGTCACAGGTCTAGATACATCTCCTAGTGTAACTTTTTTTGTGATTGTACATTGTGTATTTTTCAAATAAAGGTATCGAAAACAAGTAATTATAGACTTATATCTTTAAATGAAATAAGCGTGTGGGTGACGAGGAGACTCTAATGTCTGAACTCAGACTTAGATTCATAACCATACCTACATTCCGCACTAACACCTTATATTTCGACAATTTTGCTTTTGATGCTTGTTTTATTTGAGACTTTAATTCCTCAATATTGTGACCTTTCAGCATTAGTAAGATAAATTGTCATTTCTGAGATATTCATTACCAGCATCGGATTCTGCATCTAATGATGTATTTTTCAGTAGAGTTCAATCGAAAAAAGTTTTTCGGCATCAGAGATTTTCGAGAAAAATAAAATTTTCAGTGTTCATTAACTAAATACTTTATTTTGTACAGAATTTTATGCTAATTTCAAATATATGAATATTTATGATTAAAAAAGTACTGTAAAATACTGTTTGATCTAAAAATATCACAAAATTTGGATAACATTCCGTAAAGCAATATTTCTAGAAAACACATGCAAAATATAAAATCAAACTGTGCTCAAAATGGATATGTTCGGTGAATTTCTATCTGCAGACTCCACTTTTCATTACTAAGATTAGCAATATAAGCAAGTTTCATTGCCGAATTTGATCGAAGATAGATATGATTTTTGAATGCCTTACCTTGATTTTTAGATATTTAACATTTACACGAAGGGTCGTATATTGAAAGAATATTTCGTATCCGATCGATTAATAGCTAATTGAAGAATTTCTTTTTTTCTCCGTTGATCGATTCTTGTTTGGCAACGTATTTTACTATCATCTTTAAGACAAATTTTGGATTTGTACATTCTAAGAAAAATGTCGCGTGTTCACAACACTTAATGCTACTCAGGAATAGAAATTCGTTCAGTTCAAATACTATCGATTGTTCTCTTTTCAATGATAGACTAAGCTTTCTTTACTTTTAAGTTCGAACTCCCGCCCGCATATGTAAGTAATCGATGACTGGCAATGCCATTTTTGTCAATTTTAATGGTTAATAAAAAAGAAAAGGTATCTTCAGGACTTTTTAAATCTTGTGGAATACAATGACAAAGCAATGTTTTGCAATTGTTAACGAAAAAAACAAAGATTATAAAATTATATGATAGAAATAAATACATTTTAACATTTTCCACATAAATGAAGACATGCATATGCAAATATTTCACTTTGCCCGCATAATGATTGATTTTCCAAAGCACATGTTTGAGCATTAATATCCGGTTGACTACAATCAACTAAAGTTAAAAGATAATATTTAATAAAGAAAGAAAAAAGAAAATTTTTTTTTACTTTTTTCACATTCATCACCGTACGTATTCTCCGAACAATAGCAAAAGCAAGGCTCCTCTGTTTCTAGTGTTCCTCCATTTTGACAATTAAGTACACAAGTTGGTGAAGAATATGTCACAGTTGTTGTTGCTATGATAAATGAAGTTTTAATTAAAAGAAAAACTAATGACTAAAGTTTACTTGAAGTAGTAGTTAGCGTAATAATACTTGACGGTGTTGTTGTTATCACTAATATGAAATAAATTAGTTTTGTTATTGAAGATTTCTTTTACCTGGAGGGCTAAGCATATTTTCCGATCCCAGTCCATTACATTTATCATTTGAACAAAAATAAGTTTCTTTTCCATTGTGTATACTTATAGCATTCGGCGGTCCACATGCCCACCAACAACAACGGCGTTCAATTCTTGCTACAAAAATTATGAAAGAATGAAAAAAAAATTATCGAATTTTTCATTTTTACTTTGATCATCTGGATTTCGATATATCATACATGTAGGACAATTCGCGAATAAAGGTGATCCTTCTAGACCACAACCTGGTCCTGAACAATCATAACATTGAAATGTTGATTGTACAGAGATGGTTGTTGTTGTCTGTATGAAAGACGTTGAAGTAGGCCATGGTGCTATGGAAGTCAAAACTAGAATGAAATATTATTTTTCATGTGAGTCTTTCATTATACTGGGTGAGACAAAATAATTGCAAATATCTCAACGAAAACAAATTATTAAATCCTGAAATTCTCTATAATAATACAAGTAAAAGATTCTCTTGACTTGTGATAACAAGTTTTCAGAGATATAAAATGAAAGGTGTATAAAGTGTTTTAATTTCTTACTGATTGAAATTCATTTCTTTTCTGCATCTAAACAATAATCGCATTAGAGATAGTCTTAATTCTTTCTGGCCATTTTCAAACATTAAAAGGATGACTTTGTTTCATATTACGCTATTAATCAATGAGTTTTTATACAATGAATTTGACCTAGATAGTAAACTTGTATTCTCTAGAAGTTCTACCTTATTGTTAGAGTGAAAAATCATAAATATCTCATACAACTTTTATTTTAGCTTTTTCTAAATTCATTTTCACGAATAGAAAGAATATTGACTTTAACTCTTGCGGAGAATCTCGCGACGCATCTTTTGAAAAAAAATTCAAATCTTTATGATTTATCGTTGCGGAGAACTTTGCAATCATGTTGCCGTACACGATATTTATTTTACCTGTTCCACCAGTAAGTATTGTCTCCGTTCCGATTCCATTACATTGATTTGAAGAACAAAAATATGTTTTACGACCTTCATAATCACCAATAGTTCCAGATAATCCACAACCTGATGTACAACATCGTCGAATGACTGTATCTGAATGTTTATCGAACAAAAAAAAAAAAAACTTCTTTTTATTTATTTCTCTTTTTTTACACACACTCACTGCCATCAAATTGATTAAGATAAACCATACATGCTTGACAACCATGAATTACTGTCGACTCATCAATACCACATTGTGGATTATAACCAGTACAATCATAGCAACTTAAAGATGCACTTGGCTGTTGTGATGACACTATTTTTTTTTCAAATTGATGGAATTCTATGAATTTATTATCATTTATGACATACCATCACTCGTAGTTAATAAAACTGATGTTGTTGATGTTAATAATGGATTAACAGTTGCTCCTGGTAACCTTCCATCTGCAATAGCACCATTACATAAATCTTCAGAACAAAAATAAGTTGGATCTCTTCCTTCATAAGTACTTAAACCATTTTCACCACAATCATTTGTACAACAACGTCTGATTATAGTGCCTGTATTTTTTTAAAATTTTTAATACAAATCTAATTCAATGAAATCAATTCTATGATTGATGTTTTTTTTCTTCTTACCGCCATCATATTGATTTCTATAGACCATACATTTTCCTGAACAATCAACCATAAGATGAGTTTCTCCTTGTCCACAAGGTATATGTCCTGTACATTCATAACATTTAAGAGTTTCACATGGAACTAAATAGATAGTAAAGAATAAAATAAAGACATCTTGGACTAATATCATGATTTGATTTTTTTACTAAGACAATTGATTGTTATCAATCATTTTATATTATCAAAGTATTAAGCCCCGCCTCCATCCTATTATTGTTTCTTTTTTGAAAATGTGAAAATCTGAAATAGCTTTAGTGACAAATACTCACAAGCGCAAATGTTGACTATCTGTTTTCTTCTTCGATGAATGAAAAAGTATTCATTTAGTTATATGATTTTAATAACAAAATAGTATAATCATGTGATCAAATTTCTAACAAATTATAATTTAGATTTTGAAATATAATTCAGAGCTAATTATTTGACTTTTTTTTCATTGTTATTAACTTTACTTAATGCATGTTTTTTATCATCAAAAACAACATGATCTATTCTGATAAAGTCATATCTGATTTCATACAGCTGTGAAAGGAATCATAGTAGAAAAATATTTCGAAAATTTATTATCATACAGCAATATACTTTACTTTCATATCTACTGCGTGGTATGCATATATATATATATATCTATATATCAGAGATTTTATTTCCGATTGTCGGGAAGATCAGACATTCAGTGATGTTGAAGAAAAACAAATTATATTTTCCTAATGCTAGACATTTCAATTTTGTCACATCCGACATTAATCGTATCAAAAATATAATAAGTGTCTACATAGTTATTAATAGTCTACGTGATCTCCTAAATATATGTTAGTATCAAGTCAAATATACTAATGAGAAACTGTCAAACAAATTAAAAAGATGAGTTATTTATTGGAAAATGATTTAGGATATAAAATTATCTGCAGGCAGAAACTCATTAATAAAAAGTTTTATTTTATTCAAATGAGTAACATTGTATTCGATTTCATGATAGCTGAAAGCTATATTGTTTTAAATGATAACAGAAAAGAAAAACCAGAACTCCATATACCGTATAAACGCATCATGTAATTCCTTTTATGACCCCTTTTTTACTTATCTTATCCTCCATAATGTTGGATTCTATTTTTGGGAGAGGAAATAATAAGAAAATTATATACAGAAATTAGCACTCTATTTTTTTTTTTGCAGAAAATATTTGTTTTAATAGAAATTATATTTTTAATATTTGTTTAAAATTCAATAAGAAATATTTATAATCGCTTTTTCTTCATGCAAATGTACTAATTAGATGTCTTTTTGAACATTAGCTTTCATATTTAAATTCATCGAGGTTATTATTCGACTATTTGCATGTTTAATATTGAGTTATTTTTGAAAAGGATTTCAACCTATGATGTTTTCTTCGTCAAATAAAAAATAATTTTGTAGAATTTCCAATATGATGACTCGAAGAAATCTTGCCATAGAATTCTATAGAGATAATTATGGTGACAAAAGAAAGATATTGAAACATAGAAAAACAAGATGTGTGTTAAATAAAGGAACAATTCATAGAGATTTAAACAAGTCTACCTTTGTTATTAGTATATTTGAAAAACAAAAGTTCTTTCTTTCATTATAAGGAAAATGTTGTAGTCCATTATTCTATATTATTATTATTATAATAGAGTATTTTATATAACAATTCAATTGAACTTATTTTTCTTATTTAAATAGTAGTTAAAGACATTTAAAACAATAAAAATCGTTTGATAATATTATCTCCATACAGTATATTTGTTTCAGACGAATAAGAAATTCTACAATACAATAATATTTTTTCTTCTACAAATGTTCACAAAAAAAAAAAATTAAAATCATGACATTTCATAATGCATGAATATCATATTAATTCAGTAGCTATATATATTTTTTCATTTTCTTTATAGCTTTGACAGCAATTAGTTAAATGTGTATGCTCAAATATAAATGAAAGATTTTTGCTTTGTAAAAACAAGGTTTCAATGTTCGAGGTCTTGTAATATTTTCTCTTATTGAGGAATTAATTATATACACATTCATCTAAGTAATATGATGACGTTCATACCTGTTATGTTTTTTTTCTTTTCCAATATTCATCTGAATACTTATTTTAAGTGTCATTTGAGTTGATTACTGTTTTATTTAGCAAAAGGACCTACTTGTTCTTTTTGAGAAAAATAGTCGAAATTTTTTTCTTTCTCTTTTATATTCATTATGTTTTCCAGGATGTTAATGGTTTTCTACCTGAACGACATCCTAGTAAGGGTTCTTCCATCTTTTCTCTCGTAATATTATTCTAACAACAATTGTCAATACCCATAAGTGCTGTGTACTAATCATTATTATCATTGCATTCGGTTTTTCTTTCTTCTCATGCTCGCGTAGATTTTCTTTCCTCTTTCTTACGTTTTTTTTGCTACTTTCTTGTTTTTTTTTTTTTAGTTTTTTTAATGCGTGCGCGCTCGGGAAATTATGTCATCGGAACATATATTACAAAGAAGAAGAAGAAAAAGAGAAGAAGAGACAAAAGTATAGAAAGCCACGGGATTCAAGAATATAAGATACATGATCCTACTATTGCTTAGATGATGAACATAGTTATTTTTTATTTCATTTGAAATCTTCATATGTGACCTGTCGTTCCATAGTGCAAAACAAAAGAGTAAGCATTATGTGTATTGTTTCTCATTTGACGTCAATCACGAAACCTTTAGGTTCAAATATATTTAGGTATTTACGTCATTGAATCTTAAAACTAAACAGAAACCAAATAAATATGGACATTAAAACAAAATGTTTCTTTGACATATATTGATTTGGCATTACATATTTAATGAAAGATAGAATATAGAAATGCTTGTGTTATTTTTTTTTCACATTAGAATTAGACAATAAAAAATAATCTATTATTTAACATAAGATGACAAGTAAAAGAAAGCTTCTGTTTTATTTTATTTAAAAATGATATTAATAAATTTTGGTTTTCATTGTCTTTTTTTTTCTCTCTTGATATTTATTAGATTAGGAAGTAGATACCATTGAGTAAAAAACAATAAAGCACGCAATATAGTATATGATATTTATCAACAGACTTCAAGAATAGTGACGTGCAGGAAACGCTTTGATCATGCGAATAATAAGTACAATCAATACTGAAAAGAAAAGAATAACTATCTTCTATACATTACTACTTGAAAATAATATGGAAGTTAGAATTTCAAATGAGCGGATGTTCGCACGAGATAATATTAGAGTATAATACTCATTATGAGCTAAATAATATATATATTAGAAGTAAAAGTCTAGAAGAATAATATTCATTTAGTCAATTGAAGTTGAAATAGAAACAAACAAGAAACAAGACCACGCAATGAAAAAAAAGTAGATAATAAATTGTTTTTTTTTATAAGAGTTACGATAAAGAATGTTTCTCTCATGCATATCTAATTAAGAAATACATATTATTTTGTTTTTAATACGTCTTTTTGAAAAGTAATCGAAAAGAAATAGATCAAATATTCAGTTTTAGTCTCTTATATTCTTGTATTAGCTTACATGCGTCACTGTTACTTTTCTTCTCATTGTTATATTTATTCATACTTGATTATGTATCTTAAAATAACTTATGAAAAAAGCTATAGATATCTTCGATATTTACACATGTAGACAAAAAAAAGATGTACTACTTTATATTAATTATTTAGACTTTTTTTTTTTCAAGTTGTTTAGAGTAGAACAATATTGGTGATTATCGATATTCTTGATTTATTTAACTGTATGAACTCGATCATTAGCAATATATAATAAATAATAACAGGACAAATAGGAAAAAAAAGAAGAGGAATGAGAAAAACCAAGGACAAAGCAATATTTGTATCATTACTACCCGCCCACCGATAAGCGAGCAACAACAAGCATGATTGAATAATCATGATCGGTATTGTTCTTTTTTTCTCTCTTATTATAAAGGTGCATTGTGTCACAAAAAAAAAAGAAATTCGATTCTAGTCTAACAAGGATGAAAAAGAAATAGATGCGGACATATTTTTAAAAAAAAACTAGCATAACACAGCACGGTGTACTGATAGACTTCATAGAAAAAAAAAAGATTATCTGTTTTCGAAGGCAATTATCATTATATTGTGTCTATGAATGTCAAAATTAAAATGACAATTTATATTTCCTTTAAAGTCGGGAGAAATGACATTGCATTCTCTAATTTCAGACATAGAACCGGCAATTGAACAACATATAGAAACAAGAGAAAAGAAAAATTTTCATTGAAAAAAAAAATATGTAGCAGAAATAACGATAGATTTTATATAACTAGCTCAATTAGACATAAGTGCATTCTTAGGATTAGCATTCTTAAAAACGATTTCTAGTTTGTGCATGCTATAATAAACCAAATTTGCCTTTTGTCTATGCAATATTCTGTTGAGTCTTGTCTAATTGGAAAATAATTGACTCATATATTCACACATTTTTATATTTGTCATATTTCTAGAAGAAAAAAAACCGATGAGCTAGCTCATTGCTAAGCTCTTCTATTATATGATATTCAGTATGCGATGGTGTGTAGTAATCATTTTCAAACGAAGTAAGTTAAATAGATTTGATTATTCAAAATAATTTTCTTTATTTATTAAAAAATAAAACTAAAAGATACGCTCGATTTTTAATTAAATATCATCTGTTCATATTCTGTTGGATACTTATTATGACAAGTATTTGTGTTGTTTTATTGATATATAAACGTGATCAAATACATTTTGAACATTTATCAAAAGTAAATAAACGCAATAAAAAAAAAAAACAAACAAATTATTCAAGGATTAAAATTTTGATGTTTTATTTTTTTCATGTAAAATAGGGCTTTCAAGTACATGGAACAAAATCATCCGATGAATATCGAAAATTCATTGCACTTATACGTGAAACTCAAACAACACATTTATTTCCACATTCAATTCATAGCAAAGTAATTACTTCTAAAAATAAGCATCTAAAATATTCTTCGCCTAATCATTTTCTTTTTAAATTATTTTAATTAGTGATGCATAATATAAAACTTTTAGCACAAATTACTTGTTTATTCTTTGACTAATCAAAGACAATTATTTAGAGTTAGAATAAAAATTAGTAAATTTTGTCAAAAACTAAAAAATTGTGTCTATATCAAATGAAATATTATACTAATTTGATAGATTTCAATCGAAATATAAAATTGACTAAAATAATAGGTGATCGAAAAGTTTTCAGACAAAATGTATGTTCACTTTTGGTCCACTAGAAAGTATTTCCGACTATTCAAAAGTTATGATTTTGTAGGATTAGAAATGTTGTGTCTTTTTTTTTGTTTAAGAGTAGTAAAGAACTTTCTGAAAGATCTGAAAAGTTATTTTTAAATGGTGGGCCGACAGATTTTTTTTTTATTATATAAGTTTCTTTTAGAACATGATAGAGATTGTCAGAATCGGTCATTTTGTAGAGCGAATACTTCTCTACAAAATGTGATATTCAACCAATCTATAGCTTTTACCGAAGGAGTATTTCAAAAGCTCCTTTCAACGTAGCACGGTTGTTGATTTTTCAAAAATGAATATTTAGGAAAAACAAAAAATTGAAGTATCTTGTCGAAAGACAAAAACAAAAATATTCAAATACTACATTTTGTAGAGTAGCTTCTGTTTTACAAGCTGATATATGAATAACGATCGTAACTTTTAGTTTCGAATCACAATATTGAAAATACAAAAAACATTCCATCCAAATTGATTTTTTGGACATTTCAAAGATAATTTCAATATTCTCGAGGAAAATTTCTAAGATCCATATTCGACAAGAGCACAAAATCATAGCTTTTTTGACTCGTCGGAAATACTTTCTAACGAGTCATAAATGAACAAACATCTTGTCTGCAAACTTTCCCATTGCTCGTTAATATCCTGAACAACAACTATTTTGAAACAATCTGATGATAATTGTCTAGTCTTATTCCATAAGAAATCTCTAAACACATATTAGAAGAGAGTGAAAAAGTCTAATTCCAACCAGCTGTCTACTAAGTGACCGAAAAATGGTTGAATATTTTGTGTCGTGACTTTCACACTATAGTTTAGATTAATTGATAGACGTTGTTGATATACGATCCGAAGACTACGTATCAATAACGCCTCATTAGAATAAATGAACTACTTCCTAATTGCCTTCCTGGAGAAGAATAATGAAGAAAAATGTCCTAAAATATATATAGTATAAAGCAATCTTCTTGTAAATGGTAATATCAGCTACATTGTGTGTAACATTTGTCATCCCGGAGGGATTGCGTTAAGAGTATTTTTTTTTTTGATAAGAAATCATTTTATAATTATAATTTTATTTTCCTTAGACATTTCCACAAACACCTTATTCATCATTTAATCCACATATCAATCCATGTTCAAAAAGATTTTATTTATCTACATGTCCTATATGTAAGTATGAAGAAAATTTAATAAAAAAAAAGAACAAAAATAAAGATTAAATTTTAAATTTTAGTACATTATACAGAATTAACATTTTATTTTAATACTAAATCAACGACATTATTTAATGATATAGATAGTTTTAAATCAGTTTGTAGACTTGAATGGAGATTACGTATGAAATTTACAAATTATTCATTATCAATAAATAAATCATATTGTGAATTTATAGGACCAGGTAGAAAATAATTTTCTTTTGTTTACATATTCTAACATAGATCATTTTATTAGAAAGAAATTTAATTAGTAATAATAAAGTAACGATATAATCATATTATTATTCTACATGAATTAGCTTTTTAAAAATAAAAATCTATTAAACTTCTTTTAATTCAGTTGTTGCTATTCATTGATTTCTTTGAAGTGAAGTATTTAAATTTTGAGAAAAATAAAATATTTTGAATCTTTGAAATTCATTTGAATATAAAAAAAATTCATTTTTTTTCTCGAAAATAATACAAATTCTATCGAAACAAAAAAGAACAAGAGAAAGAAAATGTACTGACAAAAGTTCGACAAAACACACTTATGATCTTCTTATAAAAAAAAAATCTC